GTCGCCGTAGCCGAGTGGTTAGAGTCTCGGTGTGATGGGCGACAGGTCGGTGGATCGATTCTTGCTTCAGCGGTTCTTTTCTCTTAAAAAGAAGTCGGTCGTAGACGCGCATTTTTGGCCCCTACGTTCGCACGCCAATATCGTATGCCCAATAAATCTCTGACAAGTGTTCATCTGATTAAGGAATAAGTTGCAAAAGAACTGCAGTTGCAGTCTATACCTGAACTACCAATTTTGTTACGGCACTGTCGATATTCGTCAAAGTCGGAAGAGCTATTATGAAACACACTCGAATGACAACGGATTCCTGTATTATTTCATCGATCAGATAAGACATGTATAGAGATAAATTGATGACAGCCCGCCGTGAGCATGCAACTTAACAACCAGTCCCAAGTTATCTTCATAAACGTCTAATATAAATCTTTTGACTTTAACTAGATTCCAAGTAAGAGGACTTAGGTATCCCCCTGGCGGCTGAAATGTAAAAGTTAAAGTTAGGGCATAGCTCCTATAGATGACGCTCTGATGGCTGGAAACTGATTATCTCGTCCCGTGATTACGCTAACAGCTATGCCGAACTTTTTTGTGCATGGTGATTCTTACATGAAAAGCTATCTAATAGCCTGCTTACCAGCGTGCGATTTTTACTTTTTATCTTAGGTTTCGCTACTTTTAGGTACTTTACCTTGCCAAGTGCCCACCTACTTTCAAAAGGTCAGCGCCGCCCCTGTCAATGCTGCGTGCTATCACCCATTGGTAGTGAGAAATATTGATCAATGAATGGCCATCGCCCAGCACCATTTGTCTTTCCATTGGCTACGTTCGCATAGTATGCACTATGCATTAGTGAATAGTGATGTCAATCACAGAAAATCAGAACACCGCTACCAAACCAAATACAAACAAAGACCATTGGAAAATACCGAAACCGAACCAATCGGTTGGACTGCAAATATCTATCTTATGCAACATATTCATTAGAAGAATGCCTACGTCTGATTTCTTAGGTGCACGCCGTTACAAATGTATAAAAAACGCACAATGACAGATGACACGAAAATCGAAGTCGCCGAGTGGATTCGAACCACCTACCTCTGAATCACCAGTCCCATACTCTAACCACTTCGCCACGGCGATAATGTACCCCCTATAGCTTAAATGTCAATAAGTTAAAACCTAGCTTCAATAGACGCCACCAGGGCGAGGACCGAAAGTATGACGCCACGCTGACGTCACTCAGGAGGCAAGCTATTGGTTGGCCGATTCGTGTAATACAATTGGCGAATACGCCACCCGGCTACGGCAGGGGCCCGGGAACGATTTTCAAGTTGGGGGGGCGAGCCTAAAATACCTGACATGATGCATATGAAACAGTGGCGTAGCTGGGACTCTTAGGGGACACGTACCCCCCCCCCCCATTGGGTTCAAAGGGACCCTCGGGTCCGACGGTCCCTGCGGCGCCATCTGACCGCTGAAGGTTAACGATGACCATATTTCGACTCAGAAGGGCCGGCTCGTTAGAACACCTCATGGGCCCTAAATAGCCACACTAAGATCTCCATAAGGGCCCCGCTCCGGGCTTCTGAGGACCTCTTACGGCTTTAAGGGTGCCTCGGTGGACTCCAAAGGCCGTTACTGGCCTCTGAGAGTTCTTATCGGCCTATGAGGGGCCAGTTCTAGGGGCATTTCCCACATGTGATGGTCCCACACTTATTTTTCTGAGGGCCGAATAACGGTAACTTTGGGGAATAACGGTAACTCATCGGCGCCTGTGAGGGCCCACAGCGGTGCCGGTGTCTCTAAGGGTTTCACACACGCCCAACTCTGAGTGCCTACACCAGTGCTTATTAAAGTCCTATATCGGTGGCTCTGCCTTCTGAGGACCCAACGGCCAACACCTGCGCATCTAAAGGCCCCCCATTGGTGACCTTTGAGGGCCCCACCGGCGTCTGACAGTACCATGCCGGTCTCTAAGTAAGGTCCCCACAAAACTTCTTCTGCCGGCCTAAGGGCCCCTTGCCGGTCACTGAGAACCCCCTGCCGGCTTGCAGAGGGTTCGCGTCAGCGGCTCTAAAGGCCCCACTCCCGTCTGTAACGGCTCCACACCAGCGTCTATGAGGGCCCACAGCAACACCTGTAAGGACCCTCACCGGCGCCTCTGAGAGAATCACAATAGCACCTCTGAGCGCCCACACTGGCACCTGCATGACGGCCCAGTGCCTCTAAAGGCCCCTTACCGGCGGCTCTGAGGGCCCTACGCCGGTGATTCTGAGGGTGCTACCGATAACCGAAGGCACCACACCAGTACTTAGTGTCGCTGAGCTTTTATCCCATACCGGCCTTCCGAGGGCGCCACCTAAGTGCACTCATTGCCCCACACCCCTCCCTCACACCCGGAGCGTGTAAACTGTGTTATGCCTATAGCAACGATTTTACCACCGTTGTACGTTATGTGCATATTTCTTAAAGTTGACTCAAAATGGTCCAGCATAAAATATGGTCTGCCAAACTCATGGCAAAGGTCAGGCCCAAACCAAAGCGGGATGACAATAGCAGATGTTGTCAAATCGATACTGTATCAACAGAAACAACTCAGATGGCAAGGAAAATGCCGTGTGTTGATGTTTAGATATATAAAGGAAACAAGAAGGAAAGAAGTATGGAAAAGGGAGGAAAGATATTTTCTCGCCGCCTCAATGTTGAGGGGGCGCCGCCCCCTCGGCTCTCAAGTTGGGGGGGCAAGCGCCCCCGCTGCCCCCCCTGTTCCCGGGTCTATGGGCTACGGGCGAGCTCGGCTTACGGGCAATCCCAAATGGGATAAAGTTTCCCGTCCAGTCCGGATCAGGGGGTTGCGGCGTGGAGGAAGATTTGAGTTTCCTGAGGATATTTTGAATACAGAAGCTCTTTATGAAACATGAAACATGTATTTTATATTATTTTAACGGTCAAAACAGCGGCCGATGTCGGTCCAACGTCGCCCCGACGTCGGCTGGACCTCAGCTATTGATCTCGGTCCGACGTCGGCCCGACCTCGGCTGGACGTCGGTACATGCGGGCATATCCGACATCCAGCCGACGTCGTGCCGAGGTTGGACCGACGTCGGGCCGACGTCGGCATGCCGATGCCGAGTTGCCGACGTCATCCCGACGTCGGCCGACGTCGGGCCGACGTCGGCATGTTTACTGGGATATATGTAGGATATGATAAAGTAGGGTAGTGTAAGGTAGTTAGGGTAAGGTAAGGTAGGGTAGGGTAGGGATTGAGGTTAAGTAGTGGCAGGGGTTGGGGCAGGGATAAAGTAGTGGCAGTGTATATAGGAGTAGGTATAGTGTGTTTCGTTTTCGCTCTTTCTGAACCGAGCGACATCACTTTCATGTAAATTCATTAATTTTTTGAAGGTGGGAGGGTCCCTTTAAACGTATGCGTAAGTCGCAAACCTGTATTCTAGTCATTTATGATTTATGGGACATAAGTCATGCGTCGCATTTGGCGAGTTTAATTTCACTTAGCCAAACAACTACTAGGCCAATTTCAAATGCAGTCATGGTCCAGCCTTTTAGCCTCAGCAGTAGGTATTTCAACACCTCAGGGTAGTATGAAAAATGCTCTTTCCAACAGAACCCTAGTAAAAAACGTGAACGGACAAAAAATAACTTTTATTTCGACATAAATATTGGCCTGTTTTTAAGGCATCCTGGTATGCCGTAAGATTTCGACCTAGCAATTGGTGTTCCCCCAATCATTGAAGCTTGAGCAGTGAAAAATATGAAAGCCTAATCTGTTTTGCATCATTAGTGATTCTCCTAGGGTGTTGCCATTTCTCCATAGGTGTTGCGAGTTGCTTTTGCAAAACGTGTTCCTGAAACGGCTCAATTTTTTGAGCCCTCAGCATTACGCCTATGGGAGCCTCTGACGTCACACGCTCAATATTTTGAGCGCTCAATAATTTGAGCTTTTCCCCCTTGTGCGTGGGACTGACCTATGCCAAAGGCAAAATTGCTAGGACAACGTTTTTTTTTTTAAAGAAATTGTATGCCCTTTTTTCTTAAATTCTATCAAATAGAGATGATTTTCGCATGGTCTAAGACACACCTACTAGGAAGGTAGGTAGGTATATATCATTTCGTCTCTCGCTCCCTTTTACTGCTTTACCTATTTCCCTCTTTCTCAGCCTATCCTCTCTTGTTTCCCTTTTTCCTTTTCCATCTCTGTTTTCTCTCCTCTGGTCCTTATCCCTTCCCTCCAGCCTTTCTTAGCGGTCTCTCTCTCTCTCTCTCTCTCTCTCTCTCCTTTCCCTCCTCTCTCTCTCTCTCTCTCTCTCTCTCTCTCTCTCTCTCTCTCTCTCTCTCTCTCTCTCTCTCTCTCTCTCTCCCCTCCCAATATTCTCAACTGCCGCAGCGTTGTAGGACTTGCTTCCAGACAGGTCCATGCGCTCCCCACTCTGCAGGCCCCAGCCCACACGGCCCAACCGCCCAAACACCCTCCAGCGGATGACCTCTGACCTCGGCGACTTGACCCCAGGCGACCGATCGTATCCCTCTCCACGCCTTCGCCCCGCTTCCCCTACTACAGCTGCGTAGTAATTGTAGCGTGTGCAAAGGTCACGTGACATTATTTACCTCTGCGGTTTGTTCGGCTGACAAGAGATGGCACTAGTGGTCTATGGATCAGAGGCGGGGCTAGGTTCTACGACTTCTTGGGGCACACTTTAGGGCAGAAAAGAGGTTTTTTGGCTCCCCATCCCAAAATGTTGCGAATATACAAAAACAAGTTAGATATTCGAAAATCGGACGCCCAAACGGATCATATAAAGTATCTTGCGCAACTGAGAATTGATCGGTCTTGAAACTACTGACCAAAAACGAGGTGATTAGTAGCAAGTGCTGGTGACTGTACATTTAACTACAAAATGGCACCACACCGATTTCATTCCGTCAAATCGTTTTCCAGTAGCATCGGTTTTCTTCCCACAGCCCTCAGCCCTGCTTCCCACAACTTCAAAGTACCGCAATATTTATGACCTCTAGCTAATTGCAAGAGATCTCATTGTTTCACATCAACGCATTAACAAATAACATCGATCGAATAACGATGACAATGGACTAGCACCACACAATGACCCACGTCAGCAGACAGCATGCCGCAGTCTGTATGCACTTGGAAGCATATTACTTCCACACATTCATGAAACGTCAGTATCCGGTCAGATCAGTGTCTCGACTGCCACCAAGCAACACTCTCCATCTCAGCCGTGGTTAGCACTTCACAGCCAATCAGTGGTTTGCTAGAGTTACAGCGCATCAATGTCTAAATCACCACGCACCCAGTTATGAGAATCGGGTGCCGCCCACGGGTGGCTCTCAGTCTGTGTGCGCCGGTCAGCCGCCGTTCACAGGGTGGCCAGAATGCGGCTGAAGGAGAGGCACAGTCCGGCCACCGTCTGGCCGCAGCCCCACAGCAGCGCGTAGAACGGCGGCATCGTGAACGCCGAGGCGCGGTACACGAACGCGATGGTGGCACTGGTGATGACGCCGGCGGTCAGCGGCCCGGCCACGCCCACCACCAGCATCAGAGGCGGCACCAGTCTGAAACACGGAGGCAGTCAGGGGCGGCACCAGTCTCCACCACACCGGGGCGGTGTTACACCGACGCTACTAGCGCATCTAGCGAGCTGACGTCATACACGAAGCCCATTGCTCCAACACTACCACAAGTGTGACGTCAGCTCGCGAGATGCGCTGGCAGCGTCGGTGAAACACCTCCCGGGGTCGGCGGCCCAGTCACACGCCCGGCTTTAGACGAGCCGCCAGGGGCCGTCCATCAGCGACCACCACCGGCAGACCAGCCATCAGCACAAAACACCGTCTGACGCAGAAGGTTCCCCGCAACTCAGATCACCGGGTCTGAACTCCTAGAGTTTTAGACACCTACGGGTAACACGTAGGTACTGACTTTTGAGTGTCTCGTGGGTGACAATGACTATGCGGTAATAGCATAGATGGCGAAAAGCATGGAACTGCGGGTGCTCGGGCACCACAAATCCGCCGCCCCTGAGGCGGTGACCGTGACCAATGCCGTCAGTTGCGGCCCCTTAGCCGACCGGCGTTGAATTGTGAGAGCTGGAAAACTCGCAGTATAGTAAAATTATCTACCTATGGCTGATCCGTAAAGCACTCTAAGTGATATAGTTAGCTGTGACGATTAGCCATTTGTTAAAAAAAACGAAGGAACTCCCAATAAAATTGCCAACACTCACTTTCCGATTTTATGTTTCCGCAGCGTGAAGAAGGCGATCGCTGCTGCGATAATGTGGATAAACATGGATGAAAACAGAGCCCAAAGGAACACTTGATACCACATTTCTGAAAGAAACCAACAATGCGTGTTAGGTTAGAGGAAGTGAGAGTATTACCATTTTAAAATGCTTCTGGACGATACCTTAATTAAAAGTAAAAACACTAGAAATAGTACGAGTAGTACGGAGGTCTCGTTCGTATAATGCCAGGAAATAGCAATTGGTGAATTATCAGCTAGCTATACCTATGTGCCAACGTACCTGCAAACGTATCCAGAGGATCTGATGGTGTGAGTCCAATAACATCGCTCAGAGTGTCCAACTCTGAGCTGAGAAAGTCCGTGGACATGACTAGCTCACAAGTGCCAGAAACCAGACTCACTTTGTTCAATGCATGACCATCTGGAAAACAAGAGTAGGGGAAGCCGGGGGAAGCCCGGCATAGTAAGCTCTTTTTCATTTTTATTACATACCATACGTGCTGTATAAAATGTTGATATCCTGCTAGCTAGCTAAGTTCATTGGCCGTGTTTTCCCAAAAATTCGGTTTCGTGGAATAAGTATAAGGTTGAGAAAATCGAGTTTTAAAAAAGTGTTGATTTTTCTGGGGTAAGCCCGGCATAGGGGTAACGCCGGCCACCTCCTCAGCGCTTTACAACGAGTTGATGAAACTATTGTGTGTTTTCCAAATATTAACGGAAAGTGAAATATTAAGGTACTGATTAGCTCTGGACATCTTAGAGTTTATGTCACACTGGTATTTTAGCTAGCGTCTACTACATATACAGTACAGGTCGATGAAAATCGTGATGCAAAATTGGCAAAAAATGTGTGTTTCAAAATTCCTTAAAATTTCTTTTTCTTTTTACCTTAATGCATCATATTGCATATCATTCGACTCGGCTGATGAAGAAGAACACAACGACACCATTTTTGAAGCTCTAGCTTCATTGTCTGTCGCGTTATCTGCAAAAACGTAGTTTGACCCTAGTTGACCTTAAGTGACATGACTGGGTTTGTCTATGATAACATGTTTATTTTCGAAATTTATCTTTGATCTAGGTGTAAACCAAACCTGCTCAGTACTTATTATCTCATGGAAAACAGTGGTTTAGTGGCATTGCTCTCGGCTGGGGGTAAGCTTGGCCACTCGCCCGGGGTTACCCCAATGTGCTAATTTTTATTTTAGAACAGCGATATTCGAAAAAAATGTCATACTTAAGCCAGCCTGCCTCGTCACCCCTCACTACAAACACTTAAACGGTCCTTACATAACATTCGTATAAATATTAGTACTGTATGGTATAACATTAACAGTGCAACATATCTCACTTTTTAGCTAAAAAACCCTTAAAATATCATTTTTGCGCTATAACTTTAACAATATGCATTTTTTGTCAGCCTTAACTTTTTTGCTGGCGTTACCTTAGCTGCCACGCTGAAAGGGCAAACAGTTGAGCATCTTATTGTGAATAATTTAGCCGGGAACGGGGTGGCCGGGCTTCCCCCGCGCCCGGGCTTCCCCCGGCTTCCCCTATGCAGGCATGCAATAAAAAGGATTAACTACTTTTTGGCCTAGCCAACCTACATTTACTGCTTACAGCCACTGCCATCCTCCATACTCTTGTAGCCCATCAACTTCTTTTGTTTGTGTTTCAGATTTAATCCTCACACAGCCTTTACATTTCTGAAACAAATTGAGCCTAGGGCTTTATGGCTAGGTAGGCACTCAAACCAATAGGTCCTACTGAAACATGCAAAGCTAATGCTATGATAAGCATGATGATAAAGGACACATTTAAAAAGCATGGTTAAGCACTATAATTGTAGTCAGCTTCAAGCCTTTATGACCAACTCATTTAGGACATTGGTGACTGGTGGTCAGTGGGCTCTCACAGGCAGTTAACCCATTTCACTTTTTTAAAGTTAAATGTGATTGAATTTGGTTTGAAATTTGGTTGAAAAATTTGATTGAAATTTGGCTTTGTCAAAGCTAGAGGTGAAAAGCCTATTAGGCAACTCCTATGATAACAATTCCCTGGCTCCTGAGCTGGGAGTTGAAATTCCAATTCAGTTGGAGTCGGTGGGAGTCAGGGCCGCCAAAGTCTTATGGACTCCTGAGTTGGAATAGAGATTGAATAGAGATTGCAATACTCTAGGTACACCTGTTAGCATAAAATATTGTATTTATTGCCAAAACCGATTTTATTGAAGCGAATACTGCTGCTTTGAATGGGCATATGAAGTATGAAGCACGAAAAGCAGGGGCCTTGGTAACAACTGGATTCAGTCAGCTAGCTGGCCAGCTAGTGATGTAAGATAGCTACCATGCTTATAAATATAAGCATGGTAGTAGATGGACATACATGTGAAAATGGCACTTAAGAGAAATTAATAGATTGATATTAAGTCTTTTGTACCTCAGTGTCCCAAAATTATATTTTTGTTTGGGTGTCAGAGGGCAAAAATGCTGACCAGAAAAGGATGAGAGTGAAAAATTGTCGGTCAGGTAAGACCCAAAAAGAGTGGGAAAATGATCAAAAACATCCATCTATCTACATTATTGTGACAGATGCAAAACAAACATTCGCGCAATCGCTCCTCTCTCGGTGGAATTGGGAGTGGAAAATTGGGCTTGAAAACTGGAGGTGAGAGTGGAAAATGATTTTCATTTGGATGTCGTTTCCCACCCACATCTGCAAATTTTGGCACACTGTTGTACCTAGCATTGATGTATAACAAGCTTTGCTAGTGCCATCGTACAGTGCAAGCTGGCAAATAATCCAGTTAATACCACAGTTCAAAAGCTGCCTGCCGGAAAGACCTCTTCACATACTGGGCGTTGATGCAATGGGTATGAAACAGATAGGGTTTACTGTTTACGCTTCTTATGTGAGGCAGTCTTTAGGCAAAAAATTCCAGCAGGCGGCTATTTTTCTGTTGGTTTAACTGGTCTCAGAACATGTTTTTTTACTAAGCATATTCACAGTTACACCCTTACACCCATGAGGGCTCAAACCAGCCCCTATCAGATTTTTGTAAATAGTTCACCTAAAAGCAGCCAATGGCTACAAAACTTGCAGAACTCTCAACTTTGCCATTTTTACAAATCAAAATTGCATTGCTATGGCCGAAACAGTAATGGAAAAAAACTTGTTGTTACTCTTGTTACCAATCCTGGCCACGTCCGTCAATTCAATATTTACTCACAAACTCAGAATCTTACGCGCAAGGTATAAAAGGATAAAAGGTACCTAAAGGCCTATAAAAAAAAAACAGTTTAATAATGCTCAATGCTGTGGCAGCTGTGTGCCGTACGATGCCAACCCGGCGTTCGATGTCTTTCGGACGGCGAAGATTCTACGCCGTCCGACCAATCACGTTTCATAATCGCAGCCGAGCCCCCACTGACCTTGGATGTGATTGGCCGGACGGCAAAGAATCTGCGGGAGATATCGAACGCTGCCCAAGATTTTTGATGTGATACAATACTGGCGCAGGACATGCAATAGGATTCATTTGTATTGGATGGTAGTTCGAGGAATTACGCTGCAATTACGCGCCTTTGGGCCTGTTCCAGCGCCTCCAGAAACCTCCAGAAAGCTCCAGAAAGCTCTAGAATCCTCCAGAGAGCGTTCCAGCGCCTCCAGAAAGCTCCAGAAAGCTCTCGCCAAAGCTCCAGAAACCTCCAGTAGCCTCCAGAGAGTTGAGAGGTCCAAATTTCTCTGGAGGCTCTGGTCTACAATTATGGCGCACATGTGACAATCACGAATGTAAACAAAGGACGTTTGACTGATTATTTTACAACTTGAATGTAAGGAAAATAACATTGCTATAATTTTGTAAATCTTTCTTAATAAAATTGAAAATAAATTTTTCGTTTCAAGAGAGAACAATCGTCATTCTTTTGGTATATGTGATGCCAATCTCCAAAAATCTCCAGATTGCGTTCCAGCGCCTCCAGTGAAACCTCTGGTAGAGCCTCCAGTCAAGAATTTCTACTGGAGGCGCTGGAACAGGCCCTATATCTTGCCATAATCCAACCAAATCCAACAAGAACAAGTGTTCCAGGTCCGAGGATTCTGGGAAGGTCAGAATTATGAATGTTGATGTTTTCTCTCGTATCGCCTTGCTCGTATCCATTCGTTTGTGATCCATAACGTGGGATCAGGGATTTTGAATTGTAAAATTATTGGCAGTTTTGTGGCTTGAGTGGAGACTAGTACATTAGCATAATTCTGAAGTTTTTTACACCACCAACATGCATCCTAGCCAACAATAAGGCAATGATAATGAATAAATTAAATTTAGTTTCAAAATCATTTCCTAATTACTTACGAAGGGCCTTATGGAAAAATGCGAATAATGCAGCACCTCTTGCAGATTGACATTCATTTGGTATTGAGCTAGGTGGCTAGGTACCTATGCAATATGATTGGTCAGCCTGTTATAAGCTTCCGCTGCAGATCACTGATCAAAACACAATTTAGCCTCTACCTAAGATGAAAGATAGCTCTGCCTGTATGAATGTATGTATTTTTGCACAAATATATTATTATTTTTTATTCATTTTGAGCAAAAATGATAAAACACTGATTTGAGGAAGCGTTATATTTCCTTCAAGATAAAGATACTGGGGTTAATGTCTAATGATGCATGTTTTGTAATGGTCCATATTCATACCACCAGCCATTCCAGATGGGATAAAGCACCCTGAGCTGACTTCCTCTATCAGAAACATGATAATCTGATTTTTGTTGTATTTGTATTTGTATTTTACGTCTGCAGGCTCTCCACATAAATAGCTGTGGCTATTATGAGCCTATAGTCAAAAAGGATAAAAGCAAATGAATCAGGACGCAAAGTCAAGAGGCAAAACACTCACATGTCACACACAAGCAACACATCCATTCGAAACATACAACTCGTACACACTCTTAAATATAATGGATATATTTTTGTGATTATCATGTACATAAATTCTATTTCTAGGAATGTTGTTATATTCCAAACATTTGGGACCTGCAAGATTTGAGTAAGATATCAAATGAAATTGCAAAACAAATTTTGAATGTGCTTACTGTGTACAATGAGCAGTTAAAATCAATTATAGTACACCAGACTCACAATTGGAAAAAACTGAGCCACATGCTCAGGCCTCAAGAACAATAAAGTTACTGTAACACAGGGTGTTAAGGGACAGTGGGCTGCAGGGTGCTTCCTAATTTGAGACAGTTAAATAAAATCTTAAGTGTGGTAGTTGACATCTGACACTGTTTTGTTCTTGACTATAGGACAAATGGCATGGTTTACATGCAAATGATTTGGTCCAAAAATGGTTTTGAAAATCATGCTGCATTTTCATAAAATTGAAACATCTCCAAAACTCTGTGTGTACCTGTACCACAGAAACTAGTAGGTGTACAGGGAAAATGAATGCATAGCTGTATTTTCACATATATTATACATGTTCCTGAAAGCCTTATACCAATCCACCCATTCATTCATCATTCCTCTTCCTCTTTTCTAGATGCATGCATAGTTGGAGGTGAAAGTGGGGTGCTAACTGCTAAGGGACAGGGAAGAAAAAAATAAAAAATAAGATCTAAATATAATTAAATAAAGTTTTCTTTCAGTAGGCATGGAAACCACCTAATTCCACATGAAATGCTGGCAAGTCCATGATCATATCTCTAACACATCACATGTTAGGTATATAACAAAGCACTTCAAAACTCCCTGTTCTACAATGATGGGCCAATGAAGACTGATGTAGGTAAATGTGATCTGTCATCATAAAAAGGTCAAAACAAAGAGGGCAACATAATGACAAGTGACTAGCTTCAAAGTGGGTTTTTGTTGATGACAGAAGGGTAGGTACTTTTTGGTTCTGTTTACCTTATAGCTAAGGTGCATTACATGTAATTGGCCGAAAAGCCCATTAGTGGCGAATGAAACTGACTTGTTTGGTGACAGAATATGCAGAACACTTCAATAAATTAATTGCGTGCCCTTTCACACCCCAATTGTGGGCATTTGATGACCATTTCTTGGAATTATATAGAAGTCCCTTAATACCCCACATCAGGGTGCTACGGGACAGTGAAGAGAAGTAATAAGAAAAAAAATATGCAGGGTATATATTTTTAAAATTTCAATGTAGCAGGCATGTAAAGCACCAAATTCCAGATAACATGCTGATAACTTGATGCTTCCATCTCCAACACTTCTTGAGTTATATAACAAAACACCTCAAAACTGTCCCTTAACCCTCGCCCGCACATGGGGGGGGGGGGGGTGCCATCCCCACCCCTGGTAATTTTTCTGCTCTGCACTCAACATTTTTAAAGCTAGAAGCCTGATTTTTCGTATAGCTGCTCCTCTATCCTTTCTTGATGTCCACTGACAATTTTAAGTTTCTGTAGTGTTTGGTTTCGTAGATATGACCTTGTTCTTCAGGTCATGTCATGACCCAAATGACAAATACCCAATACCTTGCGTTGGCAATGGTCTTGTGAGCTTTTAACATCTTGATTTCGGCCTTTTTTGCCAGTTTTACCTATCATGGAACATGTTCGACGATGTACAGATTTGAAGGTGTGGGTCAAGGTCAACCTAGGTCATCTAAAACATTGCGTTTTAGGCAAGCTGAATTAACTTTTCGTAAGTTTCTTTGACTGTATTTTTGGTAAAAGCTTCTCAGTTCATGATCTCATGTAATGTGGACACATAAACAATCGGTGCACACATCAGTACACGCACATACACACACAGACATACAAACACACGTCATTGACCTTGACCTTACTTGACCTGAAAGGACCTCAGCAGCAAAAACCTGGTCGGATAGTGTGACAAAGAGGTTCTAGTTTTCTATGTAGTTGGCTTGGCACAAAAAAAAAACGGCATCGTCATCGGTATATGATTAGCTGCGCACTTGATATCCAACGACCAACGGTGACCCAAAACAGCAACATTTTTTTTAGTTTTACCTGACGTTGAAGGTCAATGACTGACCTGAGAAGGTGAAACTGGGTATCATTGGATTTGTCTCTTCACAAGGAATCTTTTTGGTCTTTACCGCGAAGCTCTATCTCCAACAGGAACGAAATGGCGCGGGGGGGGGGGGTGGCAACCCCCCGTGTGCGTTCTAGGATGGGAAAATGGCATGTGCGGCACGGGGGGTCGAACGGACCCCCCTCTCCTCGGTTTTCGCAAATAACTCGCAAAAAAGCGGCCGATCGCGACAAAATTTTCAGTACCCTCGAGTTGATAAATTTTACACCTACCCTGAAAATTTCATGACCCTGACCCAAATGGCCTTTGACCTGTGAAGTGTGGCCTATTTCTTTAGGTCATGTTTGACCGGAATCGGGATTCTGCGTATGTCGGCTCGCATTAGCCGCGCGTTTGCAGTCTTTTCGTGTTTCCAAGCGTTCAAACATGTGATATGATGTTGCTCCCGTGCACAAGGGTGGGTTTCAAGGTCACCTGAAGTTCAGGTTTGATGACCTCGGTTCATTTTTTTCGAGTTGTACATGTTTCTAGGCTAGTTTTTGCAGCTGAATCGAATTTAGCAACCGGCAGGACCTACTGACCCTACGGGTCGACCTGACTTGACTTGACCAGACTTGGCCCAAATGCATGAAGACATCATCTGTGATCAAAACTAACATGATATTCGTGATCAGCGCCCCTCAAAACCTCACAGCAGCCACGCTTTGTGAGTGTGACGTATTAAACAGTCCCGATTTTCCCGATTTTTAGGTCATTGACCTGACCATTGGTCAACCAATGACCTAGAACCTGAAAATTGGGTATCTTCGGCTTTTTCTCGTCACGGGCAAGGCAACATGCTCGTTTTTTTCCGCGAAGCTCTAGCTCGATCAGGGGCGAAACTGCAAGGGGGGGGAGGGTCCAACGGACCCCCGTACATACGTTCGAGGCTGGCAAAGCACCAATAAGGGTGAAGGATAACACCCCGTTTAATGGTACCTAGAATATTGTCAAAACAGTCACTGACCTCCAAAAGTACAAAACTGCCACCAAATTCTGCAAACAGGAGAACCTTGTGGCACAGATTGCCAGGGTTGCAAAACAAGTGGCATGGTGTATGATTCTGATTAATTCTACCAAACCCGCCCCAACCTAACCTAGCCTATCCTTAACTAGCCATACATGAATGTGCATACACATAACCTAGCTTAACCCTAACAATATGCAATGCACTGAGCTTGTTGGCAGTGCAATCGCCAGTGTCTTTTGACTTAGTGCAAAACAGATATCATAAGTATTCATGTCTTGTGGTTAGTGTCTTATGATTTAGCATGAAATATAGTTTTCAGTTCATGTGTCGCCTTGGAGGCTAAGATAGTGTGTTTTTTCATTTTTTATTTTGTGAATTCACACAGTTCTGAGGGTGGGATAAGGCTTGTGACACCCAATTAGGAGTCCTTTTGTCAGGTAGGTAACTGATACTTAACCCGCGTACCGACGGGGGTCTGCGCCAGCTTACAACCGACGGGGGGGGGGGGCCTGAGATCTCGAGAACGAAGCAAGATAGCGACAGGCGGTAAACGGCGTAGGGTACGCACGGACAAGGTCTACCATTTTTACAAAGGTCATTTCAGGTCAGGTCAAAGATAACGTCGCAGGGGTAAAAAAAAGCCAAAATGGCGGCGCTGGATATGAAGTTTTTCTCAAATAACGTTAGAATTAGTCAAGGTAGGAACAAGCTAAGGGCATCATCGTGATCCTCTCGTCAATGCGCATCGAATCATATACGTATATGTTGACCTGGAAAGGTCAAGGTCAAATTTTGACCTCAGGTCACGTGACCTCGAGGTCATCATGTACATCATTCGATGCGTCTTGACGAGCTGAACACAATGAGAGAATCCGCGTGGCTGTAGCTTGTTCCTGTACGGAGTTATTGGCCAAAAACCTTTGGTGACCTTTGATGACGTCACATGACCTTACAGCTGCCCAACAGCAAAACAGACCTCAAGGTAGTGAAGGTTGATCGTATATGAAGTCATGTGTGGTATAGGGGAGAGTGGGGTAATTTGGCCGGTGGTATAAATTGGCCGC